CAGCAGGATTTGCCTGCGTCAATCGGATGTGCACCGCCGTTAGCGTTAAATGACACTCAGTTTGATCACATTTTAATCAGGGTCAGTTGCTGTGCTAAATAGTTCGAGTGAGTGGGTAAACTCTCCGTTTGAAGTGTCATCATAATGTTTAAACATAATTGAGCAAAGCTCTCAATGAAGTTTTACTGTATCTTGTTCCTGCTTTGAACATCTCAAAAAAGAAATCAGTTTTGTGTATTAAAATAAAATAAAATAAACGACGTCCCATGGGCAGCAAACCAAATGTAATGTTCATTTGGTGCTCAAGATCAGATCCCTGGTGAATAAATGTGCAATGTTGTTTTAATTCCTTTATTTCAGATGGAGTGGTTTTAACTAGTCAGCCTTTTAACCAAATTAGTGTATAACAGAGGTGAGGACTCAAGTCACATGACTTGGACTCGAGTCAGACTTGAGTCATTATGTTGATGACTTCCGACTTGACTTGATAAAGTCTGTAAAGACCTACAACTTGACTCGGACTTGAACGCCAATGACTTGCGACTTGAACTGACTTGCATCTGTTGACTTGATGATGACTTGAGCATATTTGATATTTTAGCACAAAAGTGGCCCGACATGGACAAAAATCATAAATCATTCTTTGTTCTGGGTTTGATTTACTGCTAAATGCAGCAGCACTGTGTTTACAATCCGTTTCAGGCGCACTTTCTGCTTGTTTGAACAAATAAATGAACCTTTATATCTGGAATGTGTTTATTATCATTGTCATTAAATCAAAGTTGAACAGATGACTTGATTATGACTTGAAAGTTCAAAGTTAAGGACTTGGACTTCCACATCATTGACTTTGGATTTGACTTGGACTTGGTTGTCTTTGACTTGGACTTGACTTGAGACTTGACTGGAAAGACTTGTGACTTACTTCTGACCTGCAAAGCAGTGACTTGGTCACACCTCTGGTGTATAAACATCTAAATTAGGATTAACGTGTATAAAAATTTGAAAGATGACAATACCCAATATTATTCTTACTGCAATATTATGTGTAATATACATTTCCTTACACTTTTGGCACCATCTGTAACCAAACTTACCATCTACATTACTTCTCTGCTTCAGTTAAACACCTACCCAATGTCATTCTGCATCACTACCTGTGTCTCATGCAAAACAAATACCTCTAGTATTATTATACCATAACTTTATTATGGTATTGAATTAATCTGAGGTTGAGTTTGATGGTGGAACTTTGCGCTTGCATCGGCCCTGCTTTGTTCATGGTGGAGTCAAGCTAATGGCTTGACCAATGTCTACAGCTGCTGTACAAGTCACTTTGTATAGCATTTACCCAAGCCAGAAGAAAAACATAAGTATGGATGTTGGATACTCAGCCTCCAATCTTAACTGTTTACCTATACTGTCTAGTTATACATCAGCCAATGTTTTGCTGGACTGAAATAAAGGGCTTTGACAGACTAGCGACCAATAAAAACTTATTTTGCATCAACATGAATGAGTAAAATCAGCAGTAGAATAGCATCAGCTCATTTTATGTTGTTTTCCTGCACTTTGTCTGTTTTGTTATTACCATTCATCCAGTTACAGCAAGTAAGACTGTTGTTTAGAGCTTCCTACATGATCAGTGTTTCAGTTTAATTCATGAAACACTTTTTGAAACACCCTTTATAAACATTGTCAGCTGGTGTCTATAGATCCTGATTGTGTGCAACACCCCCTTTTAACTGTTTAAAGGTGCTATATGTAAGAATGAAGTAAGAATGACATCGTTTGGTCAAATTTGGTTTCTGCAGTCTGTTATTCTAAGCAAAAATTCACTTTTCCACTCCTGCTCCGTGAGTTTCGTAGCTGTTTCCGGTTATGGATCAGCGGCAGAAAATTCTAGATGACAGGTCATATACAGTAAGTTGATAAGTAAATAAATACTTTATCATATTGGGTGTTAGCACTGGGTGTTTTACAGTAGGGAGAATTTACTACGTACGTGGAATGTCACCTCTCAGTTGGGGAAGGAAGGAAATTGCTACAACTGATCTATGAGGGGAGAGAAAAAAACATCTGCAATAGTCATCCCCATGATGAGAATGAAGCATGGGATCGTAGAAGTCTTCTTCATCTTCTCTGACCCATCCCTGTTCAAAACTCTTGAGTCGATGTTTGCTGCTGTATAGTAATTTTTCTGGGACAGTCCCTCTGTAACAGAACTACATTAAGATGGTAAAAGACAGAAACTGACAGATATGGACATACATTTATTGTCTTTTGTGTTTCATGCTGATGCTATGTTAAAGTCTGGCCAGCAGATGTCACTCATTTTATTGGGTTCATGGTTGACAACACTGAACCATTTCAAACCATTTGCTTCATATTGGTAAATTGGCTTGGAAAGCTTTGGTTTCTCCATGACTAGTAATATGTCTTCGGTAGGGATGCAGGTTTACAAAAATGCCTTTAACTGGCTACTGACACTCTTAACGGTTAATAGCCAGTTAACTGTACCCCCCCCCCCCCCCCACCCCCCCACCCCACCCCACCCCCCACACACACAAACATTTGCCCTCGCTCTATAAATAACGCATTTCCGTCTACTGTTCTTAATATAATTGTGACGCACAACAAATGTCCCACACTCGTTACATTTAGGGACAGAAAGTAAAGATGACAGTGATGACAGCTGGCATGTCCATCAGACTCAGAACTTTTTGCGCAGCGGACTGTCTGGCATCAAATACACAGCGCTGCTTGCGACTGAATGCCTATAAGCGCATTCTGGAGGCCAATTAGTTTTCTTACATTGAACTAAATAATTACACTGACATTTCTTTATTTTACCGAACAAATTAGGAGACAGATGCAAGCAGGAGCATCATGGCACACTGACCTTTTGCTGGCTTCAGTTCAGTTTGCTGCGCCATGTTCTGCCAGGTTCAGCGCTTTGATGTGAGGCTTATTGTGTTCCAAGAATTAAATAACTAAATAAACTGCTCCAACGCCGTGCTCATTGCTAACCTCGTCGTGCTTGAGCACATTTGTTTGGTCATGTGATGAGCTCATTTCTTCTTCTGCAGTCGCCCAGTAAACATATTTGATAGCGGCACTCTCGTACCCTCTAGAGCACAAAATATATTGCACCCAGCGCAGCAGAGGGACTTGATGCAGTTAACCGGGCAAACTATTTTATCCGGTTATAATGTTAACGGCAGTTAACCGGTTAACTACGTACATCCCTTGTCTCCGGCATTAGGGACAGTGTGGTTGTTAGCCATCTTGTTGTTAGCTTGCTATTATAATTTTGAACGACTCCTTAAAGGGAGTAAACGCCGCAATTGACTCACTATTCACTTCACACACACATTTCACTGTAATATCAAGTTGTTGGTTATTAAAAAAAGTAGCTTGAGATATTTTTAGAGTCAACTTTTTACTTTTAAATTACCATTAACATTGTTAGCTCAAAATTACCCTCTAGCCTGCTTCATCCTATATTAGAGTGAAACAAAATATGCCGTGGCTTCTACATGAAATACCTTCTGGGTCGCTCCTGTTTACTGGCTTTGGGTTTTTATGCATGCTAATGCTGGCACAGCATTAGCTTGGCGCAGACTCTGCAACCTCACAAACTCACTGATTGTAAACAGTATCTACGTCCCTCTTAATGCTGGGCGATATGACCTAAAATCCATATCACAATATATTGAGGATTTCACCTCGATAACGATAAATGAACAATAACTACAAGTATGCGCAGAAGTTGTCCGCTAGATGGGGCTGTCACATGTATTATGTTGAGTCATATTTTTACGTGACTCGAGGTGGTACAGCTTCTAAAAGGGACATGGATGTTGCCAACCTACACACACCTTTTCATTTTTTTTATTATCTAATTTATTGACATGGGAAAAATTATCCCGATTAGAGCTAGAAATTTAGGCAATGATAGATTTTTGATTTATTGCCCAGCCCTAGTCCCTCTTTAATTTTTTTGAAAGTAGAAAAGCTGCCCCCCCCCCCAGCTAGCTGAGAATGAAACCTGTTTCAGTGTAACCTTCCCTCCAACATGATTGAGACAATAGATGTTTAGTGAAAATTTCACAGTACATTTCTTTCATGTTGCTCTTTTAAAAAATACAAATCAGAGCTCAACAAAGAGCTTTCACAAGCCACGACTGTTTTAAAACAGCGTTTTGGTGATATGAATACATTTGTGTGCAGAAATAACGAGATAAATCACGTGAATACGTAAATTATCTCCCTCCAGTGTAATCCTTTATAGAAATTCACATTGATTGCTTTTAGTAGCTTTGGTGTACGTATTTATATATTTGTGCTGTAGATTTAAAAAAGCTCATTTCAGCTTGAGAATTCGGTTAGGTGGGCACTGATTTTTATTGGGATAAAGACCTTGATCAAGACATCTTAGATGTTAAGTTCTCTCCGTTCTGATTTGTGGTTAGCATCACTCTGCCATTAGCATTTCTCCCCGATTCTCCAAACTGAGATCACTCTGGCTGCTACTTTGTGCAGATGGAGGATTGGCTGCTGGTAACTACCCCTGACAGCCCTACTTGTGGGGAAAGAAAGTCTGAACTATTCCTTTAAGTGCCAAAACATATCAAGTCTAGACATGAATAGGAGAAGTGACAGGATGAAAATGAGGTATGAACATTATGGGGGGGCTTGTAGTGGAACTCACAAGAAACAAAACCAGGCATGAGTAGATTTCCAGTGCTGCTTGTTTCTGTCTGCTCATAACAGACAGCCTCTTTGCCACTTGCTGGCTTTTGTAATTGACTGTCAGACTCCTTCAAAGAAATGCCAGGCATCTGCACGAAAAAGAGGTGTGACTGGTCTTCGTGGATGTGGTAGAGGAAGCGCCTGAGTGAGGTGTCAGTAGGCAGCCAGGGTACCATCATCCCCGCTGCAGCTGGTCTCTGATGTGGCTACTTCTTTGAAGAACTTACACCCTTCTCCCTTTTCAGTGTCTGGAGCCCTGCAAGGAATCCTGGGACCTGAAGGAAAATCAGTGCCAAGATTTATGTGAGGTATGTCTCTACCAAAAATACTCTGCTTACCTCGGGTTTGAGCTTTTCAGACCTTGTGGGAAAATTTGCTGAGGGGAAAGTTTAAGGAGGGTGTGAAGTAACTCTTTCTGTGCAGTATCGGCCCCTCTGTGCAACTGAATTGAAGCCATTTAATTTACTCACACTTCCAGTGAGTCATAAGCTGAAATCTAAACAGGACAGCCACTGTAAACTCAAACAGCTGCTTGTTTGTAAGACGTCTTTAAAAAGTAATCTGACATTTATTTTCCTCTCCTCTTGCTCCTTTCTCCATCTGTAGCCCCTTTTCCCCAAGAAGCACTACGAGTGTCTTACAAGCTGCGAGTTCTTGAAGTCGGTGGAAGGAGTGAAGCAAGGCGACTGCCCGGCCCCCGAGAAGGCCAGTGGCTTCGCCGCAGCTTGCGTGGAAAGCTGTGAGGAGGATGGAGAGTGTTCAGGAGTCAAAAAGTGCTGCAGCAACGGCTGCGGCCACACCTGCCAGGTCCCCAAGAATCTCTACAAAGGTAAACATGCATGACATCGTGTGAAACTAGTCTACAGCGAGAAAATGCTGTACAACTTAAAATCTTATAGAATTAAGTCGTGGTTGTGTTGGTACTGGGTACCGGTGGTTAAATGAATGTGATGGCAAACAATGAGCAGCTGCTTTTGTTAGAAAATACAACAAAGAAACAAGTGTTGGATCGGTTTGCAGTGCAACCACACAAAATCATTTTACTTAAACTGATTTCATCATGCACATAGCACAAGTACTTTTCCAACCACAGAGGGGCACATTAGGAAGGCTGTTGGCTTTGTGAGGAGCTGGGGTTTCACAGCCTGTTTGTTGCCTGTGGCGGCTTCTCCTCGTCTCATGAGTGCAATATTAAAGACTGATCCACTGACCAAGAAAAAGTGCCTGAGTTTAGCTTTTTAAATGCATTTATGATTAATAATATCTGCCAGCATTGTTGTTCATGACTTATACATTGCAATTACTGGGAACTGCTTTTATAGTAAAACACCCCCACCTCCTTGTGTTTTCTTTCTTGAATGCTAATGCTCAGGCAGAACCTTTGGAACAACAAGGCTGCTGCAATCAATAAGAATTAAAACAAGAAAATTACATACTTCATTAAAGGCTGGGCATTAGTTAAAGGGATGCTAATTGCACACTGCCGTAGAGGCCAAAGGTTTAAACTAAAATCATCTTATCACGGTAACCGATGTAGCGGTAAACCCCTGTAATAAAAGTTGACAATAATAATAACCGTCTTGTTTTTAAAAAAACTATAGTATCTCGGTGGATTATCGTGGCTGCGGTGTAGGCGCGGTGACCCTTACCAGCCACCGTATCATCTGCTGAAGTTGCCGGCAGCACATGCGCACTTTGTTGTTTGCAACCAAAACTTTCTTGAAGCTAAAGCTGAAATAATGGCCAAAGGAGGAGACGGCAGCGCACAGGACATTTATCATCCCTCAAAGAAGACAAAGTCGGTAGTACGGGCATTTTTTGGATATCTGAAGAATGCCGAGGGACAGTTGATAGAAGACGGCTATCCTGTTTGCAGCACGTGCAGAAAAAGTGTCTGTGAAAGGCAGCAACGCTTCAAATCTCATGACACATCTGCGTGACCATCACCCACAACTCTGCAGTCAACGCAAGGCAAGCTAACGTTAGCATTTTAGCTAAAATGCGTGATCCGAGGATTTGGGTTGAGGGAGAATGCAACAAATCGCTATATAAAGCAGCCGCAGTGCCGCTACCTGCATATAAACTGCGTAACGGACACCCCCATATTGAAATGATGCATTACGGGGCTCCCAGGGGCAGATAAGAGTTGGTCTCTCTCCAAGAATAATTATAAATTTAACAATGATTACTGCCTGATGACATTTCCCAAATCTGCAAAGCGCACTGGAAGGACACAAACCGAGGACAATATTTTCCTGATATAGGGTTTATTACTCAAGTAAGGGTAAAAAAGTATCTGATTAGAAGGCTACTTGAGTACCGAGTATCATCGGATCTAATATTTTTAAAATGATGACATCAAACAGACAAAAGATAAGAAATTATGGACAAATATTGGTATTTTAAAGACTAAAGGGAAAAATGTAAACAAATAAACAACATAATTACAAAATAACAAATTTTAGGCAAAATTTAGACAAAAACTGAGGACAATATTTCCTGATATACAGGGTTTATTTAGTTGTCTGAAAATCTAACACGTTTAAAAAAATACCGCGATAATACCAAAAACCGTGGTAATTTTGGTCGCAATAACTGTGAGGTTAAATTTTCACCCCATGACAACCCCAATCTGCACAGTTTCAAATGACATCACAAGATCGTGCGCGATGAGTTAGCAGTATGTGTTCAAGACCACATCAAGTTTTAGCTCAGTATCTGAGTTATAGTCAATGATGTTTTTGCTAATAGCAATTAGCATCTTTCATGAGGTTGCTATAGTTATGGGTCTTTCAGAGATGGATGGTTGCACCAGCAACAAACACAAATGGCACCAAGCCCAAAGTCAGAATGAAACTGGAGCCTGGAAGCAGCTTTCACATCTTGAGAACGTTAGTCTAACTCCGACTGTAAATCAACTGATAAAAACAGGAAGGGTTAAGGATTTCAAAGACCCATGTTCTCATATACGCTGATGCAACCAGCTACTAAAACACAGCGGCTCAGATTACAACAGACTGCTAAATCTTTTGTTAATGGAATATCTGCACTTATTTTACTGTTTGTAGACTTTTTAATGCAAAGTGGTCAGTCTTATCCAGCTGCTTATCGAGGCTTTCAGCAGGTAGGTTATTATAGCTAGAATGAAGCTGTCTCTGGAGCACAGCAAAGTGTAAAGCAGCTGGGATGAGAATCAGCTCCTCTAAATTTGAGACCACTGTCTTAAATCAGAAAAGGGTAGAATGCCTTCTGCAGGTCAGGGATGAGGTCCTGCCTCAAGTGGAGGAGTTTAAGTGTCTTGGGGTCTTGTTCATGAGCGAGGGAAAGATGGAGCCAGGATCGATAGGTGGATTGATGCTGCGTCTACGTGTCTGTGGTCTGCAGTGATGCAGGTGTTGTACTGATCTGTCGAGGTGAAAAGAGAGTTTAGCTAGAAGGCGTAGCTCTCGATTTTCTGGTTGATCCACGTTCGTACCCTCATCTGTGGTCACGTGCTTTGGGTAGTGACCGAAAAATTGAGATTGTGGCCACAAGCGGCCGAAATGAGTTTTCTCTGCAGGGTGGCTGGCCTCTCCCTCAAAGATGAGATGAGAAGCTTGGTCATTCGGGAGGGGCTTGTAGTATACCTGCTGCTCCTCCACATCAAGAAGAGCCAGTTGAGATGGCTCGGGTATCTGGTTAGGATACCTCCTGGACGCCTCTTTAGTGAGGTTTTCTGGGCATCGTCCAATCGAGAGGAGACCCAGGGGAAGACCCAGGACACACCGGAGGCATTGTTTCTCATTTGACTAGGCGATGCCTTGGGTTTCCCCCTGAGGAGCTGGCCTGAGTGGCTGGGGAGAGGAAAGTCTGGATGGATGGATGGATAATGAAGAATTACACCTGTTATTAAAAACATTGGCTGCACACATTTGTACTTGCAGATAATTTCCAAGGAAACAATTCCAAATTAGATGAAAGCTTTGTCAACTGTTCTTTATTTTCTGTATATTAGGCCTGAGATAAGATATAAATTGAAAAGGATGCTTAAGCAAGCAAGCTATGTTTCTCAGCCTAATTGTCTCCCACTTAACTCATCTCCCCTTTTAATTATTGCTTTGCATTATTTCCAAGTGGGAACAGATTACAGTAACACGGTTCATCAGCTAAGTAAGGGTCCCTCCTTCCCTCCCCTCCTTTTCCTACTTCAGCAAACGGTATAGTATCAGGTCTGGTCATGGTCTGTTGGGTTTTTAATGTGATTAATTGCTGCAGTTTGGATCTTTCTCTGCTAAACACTGTTTGGAAATCTCAGTGATGTAAACAGATTATCTCACCTCCTTCTTGACAGCATGCTTAGAATCATAAATCTCCACTTCATCTCTTTGCATTGTGCTTCGCCCACGCATCCATCATGCTGCTCCTGCTCTAAATTGGAATATATCTCCTGTATTGAAATCACAGGGTGAGCTCAGGAGTTTTATTTATTTATTTATTTTTTACAGACAGAGAATCTTTGCCCCAGTAAAATAGTGTATTAGTGCTGCTGAAGGCGACCTGATTTTCCAAGCGGTGCTGAGTCGTTATGTGAGAGAGCCGAGGGCCCCTGAACCTGGAGATGGTAGCTTGGTCTGCATTACACACGCTGTCAGCAGCTCACAATTGCTGGCCACCTCAGGCCATAACAGAGTTTAGAGACGGAGCAGCAGAAGATGAGTTTAAGTCCAGCTTTGAACTGCTTCAATAAAAGACTGCAGGGGCGTATGCTTTGAATCACCCTAAGCATGTTACAGTGTGAACTCTATTTAGTAGCGTGCAGCTGGAACATGGAACGGTTTACATTTTTATTTGATTAGGAGAAATCTTGAGGGGCTGGATGGTGGATGTCAGGCTCAAAAGGTGTACAAGGTGTTAATCTGGGAGAAGATGAAAGCCTTTAGTAACGGTGACAGTTTCAACACAGTCGACCCCCTCAATGAAAACCACTCACCACGCTGAGAGACCTTCAACTCCAGCAGTGTCCCCGCAGGTTTTAGTCCAAACACGGAGCCCGCGACAGGCCGCCGTCAGCGCCACACTTACAGTGAATTACACTCAGCATTTTGAGGAAAGTCAGAAAGGAATTCCTGTCCTTCGTCCCAAGTGTTAAAGGTCTAATTAGTTGCTCATGGTTTGAAGAGCGTAATCGTTTCTTCGTGTGCGACGTCGTGATGAGCCGTGATGCTGGAAGCTATTAGCAAACACAAGCGGGGAGAAATGGAGCGTTTCCCCCCACCGAGATCACTCTCAGATGTGTGTGTGTTCAGGTTCGGGTCCCCAGCTCATGTCTTTGCCCCTGACTGAAAAACATTCAAGAACTCAGAGACACCAGACCCCCTCTGAGCTTTTGATGTGTAACAAAGCAACGTCTTCTAATGTTCAAAGTTTTATTTTATGACATGCACCTTATATAAAATAGTGGCTTTATTAGACTTATAAAGGGCAACATCGCTGAGAAATCGCTTTAGCATATTTTTGAAATCTAATCAGTCAGTCTGAGTTTCGCATGCAGGATGAACCTTCAGTCCTTTTTTCCTGCATTAAGCCTGATTCATGCTTCTGCGTCTGCGTCAGTGCGGAGACACGCAACGCCATTATCCGTCCTTGCAGGCCTGCTGGAGAGCCCCACAAGGACGGACGGAGTCGAGCTCTCTTTTCTAAACATCCGTCCGTCGAGACGGAGAACGTAAGCTTGTGATTGGTCAGGGCACCGCTGTCGTCTACACCGCCGGCATTGCGCCCTCAAAAAAATAGATGGTGTTTCTCAATGACAAGGCGCCTGGCCTTGCGAGGCAATGTCTTGCGAGGCCAGGCGCCTTGCTTATGAGGGCACTCTCCTTCCTTGGTCAAAGAAAACGGTTAAATGGAACAGACTTGCATCACGTGACCGCCGTGGCTTCCACGGCGGTCACGTAACGTCACGTGACACGGGAGATAACGTTACATTTTATATGTATTAGTTTCAGTATAAATGTATAACGAGCCTTTTACTTTTTAAATTGTGTATATATTTGTTAAATTAAAAATATAAGTGAGTTACTACCCGCTAGCCACCGAAGCTGCAACTACTAAGCAACTAACCAACAATAGATAACTTCTTTGGGTCTAAAAAAGACATTTTAAATTTGTTGACTTACTTTAAACTTGAAATTTGTCCCTGATGTAACTGCCGGCTTCTGATCTGCCATCCTTTTGAAACTATTGCAGTGTACTCTAGGTAATTTTTGACCAAGGCTAGGCTACAAGACACCTCCCCTGTATCCTCGCTCAGCTAGCTAAACAGCTAACAAACGGAGAACACATGCCTCGGTAGAACATGAACATTGGAACACGTCTTGGCGGTTCCCGATGACGTATCTCCTAGGCAACCGGGGCAGGACCAAGACATCAAGGCAAGGTTCCTTGGCATTGAGAAACACCCAAAGAGAGCCGAGGATAACTAGCGGCAGACACGGAGAAGCTTGAAGAATACTCGTGAAAAAACTCTAAAAATATGAACACTTCATTCCCCGTGACTGGAGGAGTGAAAAGGTGCGCAGCAAGCATTTTATTTGTGGACAGAAATGACAGGAAACGTGGGTTTAGAGGTGGCGAGCGCATGAAGGGGTGGAGGAGGATGAGAGACAAATTTGTCTGTTAAAAAGTCTCTTATATACAAAAAACACAATATATACACACTATCTTGGACCGGCTACACCCTCTGGTGTCCCAGCAGAGAATTGCTTTGCAACACTCCCCAGGAGACGGAGAAGTATGAGGGCAAAACATCTCCGTCCGTGCGTGCGTGTCTCTCCCTGTTGGAGCTGACGGAGAAGCATGAATCAGGCTTTAGCCTTCGACAGAAAATAATTGTGGAAACTCTCGCATTAGAAAAGCCACTCAGATCTACCTCACACTGTAAATTAGCATTCATGGACTCACCCATCTTGTCTTGTGACAGGAAAGGCTGTTGCTGGTTTAGCATTCTGGAAACAACCGAGCATGTCTCAGCTAGTAGACACTAACCGTTAGTATTAGCAGCTCCACCACATAGCAGAACTCCTTCAGGCTTGTGTTGTTTGTGGAGATAAGACATCAGCGTTGCAAAGCAAATGGAATCGGCGATTGAGTTGTGTTGATCCGATCTGACGCAAGATGTCCAAATATCAGGAAATAAGACTCCAAAGCCTTTTGCTCACCTCTACTCTGGCTCACTTCTACTTCCTGAAACAGGACCGCTAGACCTTTTATCCCACAGGCATCGGTTCACAAGGCATTCGTTTATGCTAAAGACCACTGCAAATGTGTTGAGAAAAACATTATTAGGAAATCTAAAGAACAAGCTAGCTTTTGAACACAAACACGGCCATGGAACACTTACGCCTCCCCTCGTGTAGCTTCCCTGAGTCGCTACTACCGGAACCGGAAACCCGCGATGCCGGACGAAACGACAGAGTGGTAAACACCAGTCGCCGTTTTCTAGGTCCGAACCTCTTGTTGTCCGTGACTTTAAATGACGTTTTTATTTTTGGACTCTGGTAGTTTGTCCTAAAGATGGAGTGGTAGCAGCCAGCTGTTTCTCCTTCTCTGATGTTATTGAGCGAAGAACCTCTCACACCAGTGGGGTTCTGTTGTTAAATACAAGAGTGTGTATTGAATGGAAGACCCGGGGAAGTGCGGCGGTTTATCAAGACTGACAGCCGAATGGTCAGTTTGCTTTTGGTCTGAAGCGTGTTATTGGGGGAGGTTTTTAGACAAATGCAAGATCCACTTTATATATTTTTTTAAACATGCTTGCTTAGTATGAGGATTGCTGCAAAGACACTGGCACTAGTCAGTGACTTGATGCAGTTTGGTGGGTTCCTTATAAATAAACTGAATTGAATTGAAATTTTATAATATTTTTATTGATAAAACGTTAAGAAGAATGAAAAATGTTTTAAGCTACTTTGTTTTCCACATTTGCAATTGCAGCTTTAAGTATTACATTTCTATGAATCTTTTTTAGTTTTGGTGTTTCTCCACTCCTTTGAAGAAGCAGCTTCACATGTGATGCAACCCAAAATGTTCCAAAGCAGCATCATAATAATTACAGCAAAATATGGGCATCAGATTCAGATAAAACCTTCGTGAGTCATGTCCACGCTGCCTCTTTGAGTCCGTCAGTCAATCACATCCATATCTGACTTCATGAGAAAACGCTGCAGTGTTTTCCTGATCTCCTGTAATGAGAGCGGTAATTATGACAGAGTGTGCGTGAGGATTGAGAATTAAATTCCCGGAGCGTAATTGTTGGCGGGACACTGACACGGATTGAAACGACGTCCCCTTGATCGCGCTTCAGCAGCAGTTACATCATGGTGTTTGAGGGTGCGTGTGGCCCTTGATAAAGCCGCGTGTGATGTTTGGACTGAACCTGACTCAGAAGTTATGTTTGGAAAGAGCGACCTGAGTGAAACTGGATTCATCGTCCTCCCACGTGGAGTGGAAGAGAGGCCTCTGTGGGAGGATGAGCGAAGGCAGATGGAAGGGAAGAAGAATGCTGTGGTTACCTCGGTGTTGATTATTGTGCAGGAAATGTGACACGTTTGTGTACACATGTGCACGCAGACTCGCAAACTTCAGTGCGAGCTGTGAAAACCGCAGCAGAATAACCCCCAGCTGTTAGTGTGCAGAGTTGTTATCAGTGGGCTAAAACACTGACTCAAAACCTTGCTTGCACACAGCATACATGCCATGCATGACGACCGAATGGAATTATTTAGGCAGAGGCATGAAACACCCTTGATTATGTTGTTTACCAACACGCGGCGGGGTAGCCTTGAGTGTACGGCGATGCTGCTCATCAAATGTGAAGCAGCTGCAACAGCGGCCCAACGTAATGGTGTGGAGCTCTTGGTGATTTATTAAGATCGGTGTCATGTGTTCAGCCCTCTTCTGTACTTTCAGCCTTGTTTTTCTAATCTCCATCTCATTATCACTCCACCCAGTGCTCAGCTGAAAACGCACTATATCTCCTCTGCTATAAATCTGGTTGAGCGAGAGTTAGCCTGACTTGGCCGAGTGTTTGGCGTGGTCCTGCGTTTAATAAATCTCTGGTCTTGCATTTATCGCACATGCCCACGACTTTGTCTGAAAGTCTGAATGTGATTTTCACTGATGCAAATTACTTCCCATTGATGTGTGTGTGTGTGTGTGTTTAAAGTGGTGTGTGGTGTGTATTGTGCCTATAAGAGACGGAGAGAGAAAAATGTGCTCCATCTCACATACCTAAACGCAAACTATGTGTATCATCACCAAGAAGCACAGCTACTAAAACACTAGAACAGCAGCCAGGAAATATCACAACCTGCCACAGCAGAAGGATGATGCTGTTAACCCACAGCATGTATTAAATCTATTGCGGTGAGGTCATGTCTCAGTTTCAGATCGGTATCTGTCCAACTCAGATGTCATTTCTTTCCAGTTTTCATTCACCCGAACAAGAGGGAGAGGGGTAAATTTCAGGTTGAATCTCAGCTAACCGTTCCTGCACTTTTAGGAGTCCCCCTGAAACCCAGGAAGGATCTGGTGTTCTTGGATCAACCCTCAGGTCAGCTGGAGATCCGCTGGTCTTCCAAGTTCAACATCTCCGTGGAACCCGTCCTATACGTGGTGCAGCGCCGCTGGAACTACGGTATACATCCGAGTGAGGACGATGCTACGGAGTGGCAGACGGTGGCGCAGGTAAGAAGCAGCAAACCACACGAGATCACATAGGAAGTTTGTGCACTTATATCCAATCAGAGTCAGACGCTCTGGTCAGACATGTATCACGCTGGAGCCACAGCTACGGCGGTGAAACTGCACAGCAACTCCTCACCAACACAGAGAAAGTTTGGCAAAGATGAGCACACAGATGACTGATGTGGGTGCAGACTCTCATTGGGGCTGTGACCTTATGTAGACCCTGACCCCTGTGGTTGCCCCCCAATCTGTCCCTCAGACCGCAGAAGAGCGCATCCAGCTGACTGACATCAGAGCCAGCAGATGGTACCAGTTCAGAGTTGCAGCCGTCAACGTCCATGGGACCCGCGGCTTCACAGCTCCCAGCAAACACTTCCGCTCCTCCAGAGGTGTGTGTGTGTGTGTGGTAATTCCTGTTTGACACTCACTGCCCCTCATTTGTTATGGTTAGAAGCAGGAAACAGGTGGAAGCTTTAAAGTGTTAAGATCTGATCTGACAGCTCATCTGTTCCTGCCTGTTTCATATGTGTTTTCATCGTTTTTCTTATAAAAATGATGTTATAATCTCCCTGCATTTCTTCAAAAAACAAACTCGTTCATTAAGAAAAGTTGATTGAAAACATCCAGCTCTGTTGAGCAGGAGGATGCTGAAAAGGACTGACATTTGTCCAACTTACATTAACCAAATCTGACTGATTGTAAACATTGATTGGCTGCATTTTATTGCTACAACGCTGAAATTCACACCGCTGTTTGACATACATTTAAAAAACCAAGTCTTGCATTTCCTCACCAAGTAGCAGCCAGGTGATGTGCCCTGAAGTTATCCCGTAAGCAGCCTTGAGTTCAGTCATTTGTATGTGCATCATATGATATATGTCCGTTTAAATAAAAGAGTTCACTATGACTCACTGTGTTCTGGATCCAGCACCACGTCCATAAAGTATTATTGTATAAGTGGTGCGTTGACCTGGTCTGTGTTCATCATACATCTGCTGCCCCGGAGCGTTATGGATGGCCATCGGACGCAGGCAGACACCAGGTGGGAGAAGGTCTGTGCTGCAGGAATGGAAACTGATCTCCAATCAGGCCAATCAGTGCCAGAACTGTGACAGATTGATGAGAGTTGTCAGGGATTTGATGAACCGCCATCCATTCTGTCATGCAATTGTTATTTATGTAGTACGGCCGTATCATCTGAATGCAATTTTGCACAAGCATGCTTTGTTAGGGTAATTTGTAAGAAGTGACTGCTTATTTGTCTTGCACAGCTGACACTGAGTGGGTTTTTAAAGACCCGATGGGTCCGGTTGTGTTTTTGGACGGAATGAAATTGTTTTCAGGCGAGAGAGGGCCGGTAAGATGAGAGCCAAGTGTTGCGCGGCAGGAATCAATTTCTCATTAGGAGATCATTCCTGTTTTATCTCCGCTGGTGCTTCTGCACCGTGTTAACATCAGTAAACCATATGGACCGGTTCAGAGGCAGCTGAGCTCTGGACAGCACGCTTATTAGAGTACAGGAATGCCAAGTGTGGAGCCAAAGCGAGCAGCATGTGTTTGTTAACCCCCGACCTGCGCTCTCAGTGGTGCTGAACGCTGTCACGGACGTGACATGACACCTGTCATAACATCGCAGGGCAGATTGTCAGTGGAGGGCTAATTGCTTTACACAGAGTCACCTCCTCTTCTCTGCTGCAGGTCTGATAGGTGCTCTAGTTAGTGGCGCTTTCTTCCTGAAATTATACTTACGAGAATCCTGCCTTGACACATGATTTGTCACCAAAGACCCTCTTTGTCTTGCCCGTAAGTGTTCACAGATTTACTTAAACACATTTCCTTTAATGGCGTTTTATTTTCCTGCCATGTTCTCCAGATCCATCTGCTCCACCCAGCCCAACGAATCTGCGCGTCACCAATGTGACGTCAGGGGACGACGGCCTGGCGACCGTTCGGATCAACTGGACTCTTCCAGAGGAGCCCGACATTCCCATACATCACTACAAAGTGTTCTGGAGCTGGACCGTGCCCACCAAGTCAATGGTACCATCCAAGAAGAAAAGGAGAAAGACCACCAGCGGGGTAATCTTCCTTTGTCTGAGCGCAGTCATGTTGCTTTTCCTTTATCTCTGATCTTCTCTAAGACTTGTCTGGGGTCATTTCGGCATCTTTTTCTCCAAAGTCGGCGTTTATTTTTCATGTATTTGCTAGGAAATCAATCACACATATGGATACAATGTGTTCTTTGTTGTTTTATGTCCTAAAACTGATGAAAGAGTTCTTTAAACACTTAAGATCTGCAAAAACTGTGATGGATTGCCCAATTTAAAATGATAAATCACGTCAGGGTTTTCTTAATATCTCAGCTGGTCATGTTCATCCCTCATTCACCACTGGTTTTATAATTCACTTATGCACAAGGTCATGCGTGGCTTTATTATGCTTTATTTATGCTTTAACACAGATCTGAGCAGCTTCTAATGGCAGTTTTCCACGACTACGCTCACTTTGAATCAGGAAAAGCAGTACTTTTATACTAAGGAACAAAAATCCTCCAAGAACCAGCCGCTAATCATAGCATTAATATCATGTTTAAACAAGAGTACCACTTATTTCTATTATAAATCCCTTTGTTATTCCCTGGAGTGGTTTTGCATATTGGAATACACTCAAGTATTCGTTCCAGGGAGAAAGAAGAGGATTCGTGGCTCTCTCTTTGGAATGCCAGAGATCGAGGCTTCAGTTTCGATTACAGCGAAGACTTCATACAGACAGATGAATCCTGTGGCAGAAATTCCTGAAATGTTTGCTTTTTTATTGAAACAAAACATTTCCTGGACTGACATGGGTTGAAACAAACCATCTCTAAGGGCAAAATGAATAAATCCACTAGAATTTTCTAATTTCACATTGTCTAAGACCAACTATTTACTTGGTCAAGTAGTAGGAATGTGTGTGAAATCTGCCTGGTGGACTTGTAACAGAAAACGGTCATAAATGTGTCCCAGGATGAGTGATGCTCACTTAAAAATGAGACCTGTTGGAACTGCATGAAGCCGAGCTGCAACGGGACCAGGGAATTAAATCCTTTTCACATGGCTGCACAATGCCACGGCTGAAGGAAATTCACAGGGAGAGAGCCAACAGGTGAACAAGTGTCAATCATTCCACAACTGTCTGCCTTTAATAACCACGGTAGACCAGGACAGCCACGCAAGCACATTCACAGCCTTGAAGTTGCGTTTATCGATTCAGTTCTCCAGTTTTATTCGTAAAAGCGTGATTAAAAAAAAAGTCTCCGGCAACAAAAGAGCACACGGGTCTCACTGTCTTCGCGGAGCATTTCAACAGAGACTTGAGTAAAAAGACAGATCGCCTAGACATTCATGCACACTGCTGCTGAATTAGTTTTTAAAATGCGTAGCAGATGTGGCACGGAGGAGATAGAGGTGGGAGACACCAGACACTGTTGACACATGTACTACTGGTTTCCACTTTGGCACCTCGGGGCTTTGAAAGCAGCCCGCTGGTTGAGGAATGTCAAAACACACACAGTCAATAAGAGGAACTCATCAGGTTCACGCTGACGGTGGAATGCTGGAAGTCCAGCACGGTGAAGAAGCCCTGGGAGGTTCTGATAACACGGCTCTCTCACAGGAACCCCTGAAGTCCATCGTCTCATCACCATCCCTCCCTCAGCTCCAGATGTGTTCCTAATAAGCTCGGCTTTCCCACAGGCTGAGTCGGAGACACGATCGGTACAGCGGCGGGGCTTTGAAAGGAGTCTCAAGTGACAATGTGGTAACATACGAATGTCAGAATCTTAAGTTTTTTATTTCTTCTTTGTTTTTTGTTTTTTTCATGCTGCAGGCTCAAAGCTGGGTAGATCTGGAGGGACTTCAGCAGAACGGCAGCTACACGGTGGAGCTGCAGGCGGTCACTTACTGGGGACAGGTGCGCCTGAAGAGCTCCAAGGCCTCCCTCCACTTCGGAACCACCCAGGATAACGAATCAGGTAAACGCCTCCTTCAGATCGGTGCTTTACAGCTTTCTGGCTTTTGTCACCTGTATAAATAAGTTTGCATTTTGTGTTATGTCAGGTTTCTAAAATATCCCCAAGCTTCATCGTGCTTTTTTTTTTATCTCGAGGGCTCAGTAAATTTCATCCACTGTCATCAGGTTGTCATTAATTCTCTGCCTTTGATTAGAAGCTACAACAGGAACATTTTCAGTTTTAAAAGAACAAGAATACCAAAAACAAAATAACTTTGCATTTTATAATCTGTCTTTTCTGTAATAGTTTAAAATTCAAGAAACCTGACAATTTGACGACTTTACAATCGGACCTTTTTTTTTCTTCTCAGAGATGAGAGCAAATTATAATAATGCAATTTTATCTGGAAAAGTGTCTCCCTTTTGCCAAAATAATTGCCTCCTCTGACTCACGACCCCGAGACAATGGCTAAAAGATGACATGAAGCAAAGATGGACCTATTAGTGTGACATTGTACAGCACAAGACATCCTAAAAGGACTGAATCATGTTTAGTTGATCATTAAAAAAGGCACAAAAGGCTGATTTTTGTTGCATGCAGAATCATGCACCACAGAAATCTGGATGTAGCTGCAGACCTGCAAATGCAGACCACTACAGTGTAATCCCATCCATTTTTCATTCATCCAGTTTGTGCATTTAGCTTCTCATGAGAGTTGAGTTTCCGACAAATTTTGAAAGGGCAAATAACCATCACAGGCATTTCAGAGAGTTGGGACAGCCAGGGAACGCTGTCAGCACGTCCGCAGCGAGCCTCGGAGAAACAAGAGCGTGTTTTTTTTGTTGTATGTGTGACTCTAGAGGGAATTGAACCTCCGACCTTTACTGTGCTGTATGTTTGCCCGCTGAGCTACAGCACATTCATGCATACAGAACGGACCTTCCTTTGAGCTGTCTGCTGATCTTTCACAGAAAGAATCAAGTCCGTTTCCGTGCCGGAGAGTGTGTCGTAACCCCGTTGTGTCTTAGCCACAGCAAACGTTTCTCCTTTCTCTTCTCAGCAAAAGTGGTGCTCAAGTCAAAGAAGGGTAAGATATCCCCTCTCGGTTCGAACTTGGCCAAACGCCCCTCCGGCCCTCTTGAAGTGGGCACGCCTTTCTACCAGGACAGTCAGCTGCAGGTCCGCGTCTACTGGAAGAAACGAGGAGGTAAGCGCTCTGCTTTTCAGCTTTGTCTGATTTGAATTAGCACCCCGTTATGCCCATCAATCACTATGACTCATGCACCATAATAAGATGTTATGACTAATTCCCACTTGCTTAAACAATGGCGGACTCCTCTTCTAAATGTGGTGTCAGATGATGTAAATAAAGCAATGGGTCTTCGTGAGGGCTTGGTAATGTGAGCTCTTGGCAGTGCGGTTAAAACCTGCACATGGCCCGGTAGAGAGGAGCCACCGTTTAGCAGAGAACAATAAACACACGCAACTCAGCTGCGCTTGATAGATCTTTGCATTAGCACCAAAGCGGCCCTTCGGTTGAACAAGGCTGATGTCATAGGGAGTAGACGTGATGGTGGGTTGCAGCGCCACATGGGGTTAAAGACCATGCCATGTCGCAGCAGCAGCCATTCCCCAAAAACGTGCTGCTCATACCAGAGTGAAAAATGGAAACCGTGGTCTCGGGGTAGCCTGTCAAGTTCCATTCGCTGGTCTGTGTTACGTTAGAAGTATATGTCATCGCCCAAGCCAAACTCCACATCCTGGAGTCAAGAATGCAATCCCTGGATTGAGAAGCCTGGTGAGACACCAACTGCTGAATCAGAGAGAGGAGAGCACAGAGGGGGATGGAGTTGGCGCAGAGCTGTTGGCAAGTTTGGCCTGAACGCCGTGAGCTGAGTGATGCTGACAAGGATCAAGCGTGGCTGGGGAATCACTGTGTTGCAGAGCAGAGTTAATCCAGGTCCTGCTTCATTTTCGGCCTCTCGTATTGTGGTCCTGTTCTTTGGCGTATCTGCCACAGCCTCTCATTAGTCTGAGGGATGGCCTTGCTTTAGCTAATGTAAACATACAGACACGCAGATGGCCCAGAGAGCTGGAGTCTCTGGACATCTGGTTTGTGTGACTGAGAGAGGGGACAGGTTAACTGAACCATGATTAAACTCTCACTCATTGTGTCTGTGATCCAAAGCAGCCTGGCCTCTGGATTTTGTCCAGCAGACAAAAGAGAACGATATTGTACACCAGCGCTGATAATGTATCTTTGTCTGTCTAGTGCTCTGACAATACACAGCAGCTTGGCGGCGGTGCGACTTGTGAAGCTCGCCTCTAGTCATGATTTATCGAACGCTGCCGAGGTTGTGTTCCCCACCTGATTTCCATGTCCTTTTTCATGTTTTACATAGCACTTCCCCTCTCCGTCAGACCCGGCTTAGCCTATCTTGTTTTTTTTTTTTCCAGTTTCCCGGTTCCCTGTAATTCCTCTCTTCTGCTTCCAATGAGCTCAAGGGCTTCAAGTGCCAGATCTGTGTCTCAGCCTTCAAAGAACCCCTTTTATCTCCCCACCACAAGCCCGGCTCCCGCTGAGGGGTGAACATAGCACAATTCAATTATTAATCAGAGGCGTATTTCAAAAAAATCCAAGGAACACAGCTGAATTAATTATAAATCTTGTAAGACAAGAGGAGGGCGATGGGCAGATAAACACTGTGGGGGAGTTTGTGAGGAGCTACTGTACAAAAATAAAGGTTGCAGCTGAGATGACCATCCCACACATGGTCAACTTTTCTGTTACTCGTGAGAATTGGGAGGCTTTTCTTTATGGAATTTGATGTTCAATGACAAAAGAAACGGTTTAGGACTCAGGAAAATGTTAATAAGTTCATATAAATACAGAGAATGTATTACTCAGTTTACATTGCATTACATTTCTCTGAGTATGGCACGTTGTTCATTGCTCCGATTGATCCTAGAGCTGACTTCAAGAGACGCGTGCAGAGGCAGTTTGAAAGACAACCGTAGATTTCAATGGCTTGTGGCCAGACCAGGAACTTTGCCCAGAAGAATGGTCTGCTTTACATGGATATACAGAAACTTCTCCACAACAACCACAAAAGACTCCCAAGGGGGCAATACACGGTGTTAGGAACTGGGGCGTGTAAACTTTTCATCAGGGAATTTCTGGTATTTTATTGTGTTATGGTGATTTGAAATGAGTTTGTACATTTTTTTCACAATAAATTGCTTTGCAACATTCCTGACCATGAGTAAAAAAAAAAATCATATTCTTTGAGAAATGGACAAAAAATAAATAAACCAATAACCTCACCAGGGTATCGGCTCAAATGTATTTACGTATGAAGGATGGCTTGTCGGGCTAACCAATGTCCCCAACCAAAAGAAGTAGGCCAAGTAAATAGCAGAGGTGTGACCAAGTCACTGCTTTGCAAGTCATAAGTAAGTCACAAGTCTTTCCAGTCAAGTCTTGAGTCAAGTTCAAGTCAAAGACAATCAAGTCCAAGTCGAGACCAAAGTCAGTGATGTGGAAGTCCAAGTCAAGTCCAAGTAATTAACTTTGAATTTTCAAGTCATAATCAAGTCATCTGTTCAACTTCAGTTTTATGACGATGATAATAAGTGAATTCTAGAAATAAAGCCTCTTAAAGCTTCATTTATTTTAACAAACAGAATGATTAACAAGCAGAATGTGCAACAGAAACTGATTATAAACAAAGTGCTGCTGCATTTAGCAGTAAATCAAACCCAGAACAAATAATGATTTATGATTTTTGTCCATGTCGGGCCACTTTTGTGCTAAAATATCAAATATGCTCAAGTCATCATTAAGTCCACAAATGCAAGTCGATTCAATTCACATGTCACTGGCGTTCAAGTCTGAGTCAAGTCGTAAGTCTTTATAGATTTTATCAAGTCAAGTCAGAAGTCATAAAAATAATGACTCGAGTCTGACTCATGTCTAAATCGTGTAACTCGAGTCCACACCTCTGGAAAGTAGGCAACCAAAGTAGGCTTTGGAACACTGAATCCGTAAGGATCACGTTCCAGGCCTTCAGTACTCAATAGAGAAGGTTCAGTTTACAACAAAATAAGTAACGCATTAACTGATGGCTGTTTCCTGACCTGAAAAGCCCTTCGCTGCCAGCGTTTGAGTGTTTTTAATGTTTTTTGAAGAGCCACAGAACGTTGTGCTCTATGATGATGTCAATGCTAAAACTACCAAAACAAAGAGGAGACTCACCTTACGTCAGGAAGAATTCGTGTTTTTAGTGTGATCCGTTCTTTCATAATCCGTTGTTGAATTGTGATCGGCAGAAGTTTTCCGGTTTGCTCCTCACTTTTTTTACAGCAGCGGCCCAAAACGATCTCCTAACACATGGATTTTCTGCTTCCTGATCACATGTGACATAGATGGATGAAGATCAGCTTTAGAGCTGTGATGTTTATTCTCATGGTGCAGGGGCTCGTTCCGACGCCCGCCCAGGGAAAAAAATGCAAATGGCGACTTTAGTGTCACTCTGTGAAAGCACGAGGGACTGCTCTCGATATAAATTGAGGTTATTAAACGTGTTGGATTGTCTTCGTCTGATTTTTAAGGCCAAACGAGTGTGGAGCGTTACATGTAGCCAATCAGAATGCAAGGTAATCGAAATACAGTACACCGTACGCTCCTTCTCCATCATGTTTTTACTTAGGTGTTGATCATGTTTAATCTCAAGAGGTTTTGTGAGATTTCTGACCAGGTTTGTGTGTGTAGAGTGATTTTTATTGTGACATGTGTGGCCTCTCATGCTTTGAAAATCATCTGACAATTTTAAAATCCTGCCGTGTAAAGGAGATCACCAGACTAACAAAGCGTTTGATCTCTAGAGTCAGCAGAAACGTGCCAATGAGCCAAGCACGATGACTTGGAGAGCTGCATAAACCTGAATGTGTTTTGTGTTGAGTCTCAAAAACGGTGTTGACGTTAAGGTTTACAAAACGATGTTTGCATAAACCACTATGAGGGTTGCACTGTTTTTAGATGGCAGTAGTGCCTCATTCTGGCCACTCAGACAGGTTCACAGGATGTTGTTAGGTCCTCCTGAACAGAGGGAGTCTGGACACTGTTCTTTGGGGGTGGACTGGAGAAAGACAGAGACGTTTCTGCAGCAGTCACTTACACGAGTCTCAGCAGAACATGGAGGGAATAAATGTGTCTTTAGACTTAACGACAAGTCTTGGACTTATATTGTTCCCTAAACAGTAATAAATCCTAATGCAACAACATCAGCACTCCCATCTCAGATGCTCAGTCATCAAGAGTCAGACTGTGTCTGGATCCCAGAGCAGATGATCTCTTCTTCTACAGCCTCTCCGAAATGGTGACTCTCCTCTACACAGCCCAGACTATGTTCACTCCGCTCTGAGCTCGACTTTGTATTTGTGTTTCTTTTCTTTAGCCCCTTTAAGTGCTGAGTTCTGTGAAGTCTACTCCAGGTTTAGTGAGTTTATCAATAAATCTATTGATTAAAGAGCAAGTCACCCCCAAACCAACTTTTTTTGCTGATAAACGACATGAACGAGTGTCTAATCGTGCTGCAGACATGTGTAGTCAATCATTTGGAGCTTCAGTGCATTTTAGTTAAATTTTAAATATTCTGCCTAAAACTGGCAGTGTTGCGCCGTCGTCAGGTAAAAACTCTGCACTGTATTTGAATTTAAATCTGCCACCGCTATTGGCTAAGAGGTATGCTATGATGTAAACTGGTACGTTATGATGTCACAATGCCATTGTTAGCCTGTGTGTTTGTGTATTTGTTAGCAGCTCCGCCCTCTCGGTAGGCGCCCTCTCCGCCTCTGCCAGGCAACAGTATTTGTTGCAATTTTTCAAACATTAAGTGGGAGTGAAGTCTCTTGTAGGGGGTGACTTGCTCTTTAACATTTAACCATTTTTTTTCGCTGCGTTACATATTCCATTCGTGTGTGGGACCTCTTGCAGAGGTTCCATCTGGAGGCACTGATGATGCAAACAAACGTTTTCTTCAAACACCAATGAGATCAAGGCCTGCAAGATGCAAGGCCAAGCTTGAGAGGCAAAAAGAGCTGCTTGGGAAAGATGTAGGGGTTAGCTTAAGGAAGGCCCTGCAGAAAGCTGAGGCCAAACTCGTGAACTTGAAAGCCACTAATCTGACCAAAGAGATGCAAAGAAATCCTTGGAGGAAACCTCTGCTCCTCAAAGAAGGGCTGGCTTTCACATTCAGATGGTAAAACCCAGAAGCAGTAGAGTGAGAGGACCCTGCTGACGCCACACAAACGATGACAAAAGAAGCACCTGAACGTACCTGAACATCTGAAGCAGACACACCCAAGAGTGTGTGTGTTTCTACAACCAGGAGGCAATAGTTTGAACTTTATATCATGCAAAACTGACTTGACCTGCAGCAGATAAAAAGCTGTTTTCTGGTCTTCCTGGTGCTTTTGGACCACGAGGGAGTTTCCCTTCTCATTCGTTTTCATACATTGGCCATTTGCAGTCCCTATAAATATATTTATCTGGCTTTTTTAGTGTTTGCATCAGCTCTAGGTGCCTTATTGGAATAGATAGGGAGGCTCAAAGGATGTAAGGGAATTAATTAATCAATACACAAGTGTTTAGTTGATTTCATGAGCCAATTGCATGCTTTTTCATCATTTGCACGATTAAAACTATTTTCATGGCTAAATGAGAGGCTGCTTAACTATCTCCATTGTCTGGAGAGAGGTTCTTGAACATTCGAAGCACAAAGTCTGTTGCATCATTCTCACCTCTTTCAAAGTGATTTAAACTTTAAAAACAAAGCACAATGCACATGCAGCTACCTCCATAGTGGAGTCTGGATCTGCTCAACCTCCTGGTCCTCAAACTCAGTCGACCGAGACAGACAGAACTGACAGAACCGTAGACAGGAAGGCTGGGTTCTGCCAGAGGGTAAAACAAAACGCTAAAACAGGGTTACATAAGCTTATTCAGTAAGCAATTACTTGTATAATAATTATAATGCCAATAATTATTATTCACCTATGAGGACATGCTTAATAGAGACATTTGGATTGTTATGCTCCCGTTCACTTAAATTAGCTTTTGAATGCAGGGCTTGCCCTTGAAATGGAGCGTGGTTTTATTTGATTACGATTTAAGCGGAGGCTCTGAATACCGAGTAGTTTTTTTTGTAGCTATTTACCATTCCTTTGTCTCTTCCTTTCCTTTTTCTCAGACCCAACTGTGAGTCGGTACCACGTCCAGTGGATGCCCGAGTACTGCAGCCACAACGAGACCCGAGGACCGGAGAAATCGGTCACACAGGTTCGTCCCCCTGCAGGAACGCTAATGGTCCGGTCCCAAAAGCGTGGAGCTACGATTTGATCTGCAGCTGGATCCAATGCAAAGCGCACGCCTAACCTTTTGTTTGGTGCACGACAAAAGAAAAACAGCTCCACCAAGTGAACCCGAAGCCCTGTTACGTTGGACTCGCGTCGGCTGTTTTGAATACTATGAGTCAGTAATTTCGTTCAGGCATGAGGTGTGTCGGCCAATAAAAGACATTAAAACTGAGGCAACATTTCCCGGAATGAGGGTTCAGTCACCTCCAATAGCCGCAGCCTTGCTACTGCTGTTTTAGGAAGCTGCCTATGCAGACTCAGAAGGGGGTGGAGGGGTTCAGACTGATACAGGATGGCAGAGCTTGGCAATTAACACATTCTTTGGGAAGCAGCACTCCAGTTGCTAGGAAATGCAGATTTTCCATAGATCACCGGGGAGGATTCCAGACTTGTGCTTTTATGTGAGCGCAGCGCCTCATTCACTTTTAATCAAAGCTGTTTCATATCAGGGAGAATACACACCCTTTCCAGAGGGGACTGCCTATTAATGTAGGCTGTCTTTATTACCGCTAGGTCTGAATCCACTAGTCAGCGAGAATTCTTTTTTCTTTCCTCTGAGAAATGAGGAAAGTGTTTTGTGTTAAGATCAATAGATGATTACATCTTGAAATCGGCTCGCAGAGTAAAGCTGTGGCGCAGAATTTATTAGCATGGATTTACAGGACATTTCCATTTGAACACGAACCCACCGTAGTTGCTGCTCCTTGTTGAATTTCCTCTCATGTTTATGCCTCTTTTAGGAGTGATGATATAATTCAAGTAGCAGAATATCCGTCTAATCCGTACTTTGCGGGTGTTCAAAGTAGCGCTGTAATGTGGAGCATGTTTCAGAGACCTGAGTGGGAATGTGATCTGCCCCCCCCCCCCCCAAGTGCTGTGTATTTCATTATCTCCGAAGCTCCATGGGACCCGACCCGGGTGACACGTCAAAGTCATCAGCACTGAAAAAAACTGTCTCCCTGCTCAGGAGAACTACATCAACCTCCCGGGTCTGCTGTTCTCCTGCAAGTACAAAGTCACCGTTCACCTGCTGAAGTCCAAGAAACGCTCCAAGGATGAGAGCACCGCCTTCTTCACCCCATCCTGCGCCACCATCCGTAGCAAGACTCACAAGCACATCCCCTGCCCGGGGGAGGGAGGTGAGGATTCGGCAGTCTGCTGACACGTGAAGGGCATTTTCAAATCGATCCACATTAGTGAAGACACAGTAATCAGACACCTTACAGAATAATCATGACGTTGCAGAAAATCTATACAGAGAGGAAGGAAACAGGTTTTCTTGGTTAAGCAGTACTGGAGGAACGGGGTTCTATTTCCGACCGAGTCTTAATAATAGTATTAATGCCTCCTTTCTGTTTACAGCCTCAGTGCTTCCGAAGGTTTTGGCTAAGCCAGAAAACCTGACGGCTTCTTTCTCCATCAATGAGGGAAACATAAGTGGCAGCTTCCTGTGGCACGTATCCAGGGTGGCTCCTCACCAGCGAATCACAGGCTTCCAGGTCACCTGGGCTGAAATCAACACAGAGAGTCGGCAAAACAGTCTGCCCAACAGCATCATATCACAGTCCCAGATCCTGCCTCCAGTACGTCTGAAGTGGAATAAGACTAAAGCTTTTCTGTTGAATCTGCCTCTGTTAGACAGATGAAATGAACAGCTTTTAGTTTATTTAGAATTGAAGTTTTTGACTCAGGTTTGGAGCATCCCTCGGGGGTGTCGGTAATGCCGTGCAAACATGGAGCGTCTTGCTGAAAGTTTTCCTCTCCTGCCTCTTCATCTGCCTTCACATCTTCCTCTTTCACATTCCACGAGAGCTCTGAAACAAACGCTCTTTGACATAATCTGCTTCATCAACAGCACATTGTACCCATATCTGCACCTGAGCTTGTCTATAAATAAAACCGCCTACTGCACCCTTATCAGGCTGTCAGCAGCCTTATGAAAACAAAGCCTTTGTTTTCGTCTGTGGCGTCTGCACAGACAGTTATAAATCTCAGTTTTACAGCTCGTTCAAATGAAGAGTCCCGTCACGTTCGAAGGCTGGAGCTGATAACGTGTTCTCCTTCTCTTGGCAGGATCATAACTTGCTGGTGGTGTCCAACCTGCGGCCGTCCACCTACTACAGACTGGAGGTGCAGGTGATAACGACTGGAGGAGAAGGTCCTGCCACTGTCAAGACCTTCCAGACCCCAAACATATTACCGATCATACAACACCGTAAGTCAACGTGACCATTAAGCTAGGCTTAAACTTCTGTAACATGGCGGTCTAGATTACTTCTAGACATTTCTTCTGTTTTTTTCTCAGAGGGGAAAAAATCTACATCTGTTTCTCCGTCAGACTGTCGGAAAGCTGTTCTTTTTCAAACCTTTGACTGTATATAAACTGTATATTTTACACTGTGTATGGTCCAACCACATGGTTATAAGCTGTTTAGCTGACTTCAGCTCAGTGGCGAGATTCCAGAATTAAGCATTTCATATTCTGCAAAATAAGCATTTTACTGAGCATGAACAAAAGCTCTTTGTAGCCGTCGGCGTTTGGATGAGCAACTCCTCGTTTTTCTGCATCTTTGTGACAGTAAGAAAACTCAAATGTTCACAAATATATAATATTGCAGATTAAGAGATGTGAAATTTTTAGTGAAGCAAAAATATTTTAGGAATCTGCACAGATTAGCATCACCAGCTATTGGGATTTCTATGAAATGTTGAAGTGTTTGTGTGAAAGTAAAACATAACGATTATCTTACACGTTGTAGGTGGCTACCTGAGTGGCCTGTGTTTGGAGAAATAGTTTTATGGACGATGAGCTAACTTCTAGGTCAAGTGAGCAATACTCAAATATTAATTGTTGTGAAAATTTGAAGACTGGAGCCATATCGAGACAATACACAAGCCGTGGTTGGTTTGTACTTTTTGTACTAGCCTTTAGCTAATCCGTCCTTTCAGACAAAAACGCTATTTCTGCAAACAGAGGGAAGTCAGGATTCCTATTTAAATCTGGAAAGATAAAGTCCTTTCAAAATAGCCATTAAACAAAAATAGTTAGCTTAAATACCAATTTTATTGCTAATGATCAATGCAATCATTGTTACTTAAAGGTCTAGTTCAGAGTTCAGAGTAACCTTGTTTTTTTTTAAGTACAATCGGTGAGTCTAAAGCCTATTATATACATCTCCATCAGCTGGAGTGTGGACTCGCGCACATGCATTGATGGAGATGGTTTTTCTTCAGACTTCTCCATCACCTGGGGAGTGTTGCAAAGTAATTCCCAGCCAGAACAACAGAGGGCGTAGCGCTTTTCTGGGGTGTCCTGCCACCATTACAGCCATGTATTCAAGTCCAAAATAGTGCATTTACTATTGTCTTTATGTATTTCTGAGACTTTTTTTAGCACGAGCAGAGCAGTAGAAGCTAACCATTAGCATTAGCAACTCTACAACATGGCGTAAAATGTCGGGCTTGTGACATTTGTGGAGAAAACACATCAACGTTGCATTTTTTACCCAAGAAATAAGAGCAAGCTGAAGTAGTGGCCTGAGTCACCTTGGTTTAAGCCAATCAGAGGTGATACGTTTACATATCATGAATATTAATGAGTAAGGCTTGAAATGCTGCTCTGCTCCCCCAATCTTCCAACAAGCTTTATAGCCAGAGCTTCACTTATACTAAAGGTCACAACAAAGGTATTTCATGAGTGAATGAACTTTTACCAATGTGAAGTGGACTCTGACCGGTGAATATTTGTGCTTTCAGGACCCAGACTCCGGCAGCACCACTCTCATCACCAGAAGCCAACAGTAGAGAGACACTGAGTGTTCAAGTGGAGTTCAACCCAACGGGGAGGAGAACCCGCAGCTCTCTGCTCATGTCGGCCAGAGAAGGAATGTGTGGAACCAAACAGAATCACAGCGCACCAGACCATGAAGTGACCACCACCACCACTACCACCTTACCCCCACCCTTATTCCTCTTCTCTAGACTCTAGAACTCCTTCCTCGCCGCTCTCTCACGACTTATTGAACTGGTTGCCGTGTCCGATGCAGCACAACCCCCTCCCAGCTCATCCCAGACTTAAACAGGAAATTATCAAATTTCCCATTGAATGAGATCCGAGTACTCCCAACATTTGTGGCACAATTGAAAGTCCTTTGATTGGATTTGGCAAATGCTTGGCTGAAAGAAACCCAGCTACTTTTGATTGAAGAGGGCTGGATGGTAGGAAATGCCAGGACATTTGTTTATTGATGAAAAAAAGAAAAGTAGAAAACCATTCTATTTATTTTGTGTTACCCATTAAAGAGGCGCTTAGACACACACTCCGTACTGATGTAACTAAAGTCATTATTGTCTAACCCAGAAATTTTCATGTAGTATGTTGCATGTATTACATTTGATTTTAGAGCTGTAAATTAAGTACTTGCTTCAAATTGAAAGCTCGTAATGGTTTTGCATGACAACCGTTAGCATCTGTTGGCATGAAATGACGTCCGTGTTACCTCTTTTCAATATCTTAGCAATATTTCCTTAACAAATTAACAAAAAATTATATTGGAAGTAATATGTCATGTTCATTAATAAAATTATAACTTGTGTGGAGATGAATTGTACATGTTCTTGGCTGTAGAGATATTTGTCCTGGAACAGTCAGTGAATGTCTATATTTATTTATGTGTGTATTACAGAGTTTGGTTTTGGTGTGTGTGTGTGTGTGTGTGTGTGTGTGTGTGTGTGTGTGTGTGTGTGTGTGTGTGTGTGTGTGTGTGTGTGTGTGTGTGTGTGTGTGTGTGTCGTAGTCTCAGATTTTTAATCCAGGAGGAAAAAAAGGAAAAAAAAAATCTTGTAAAGACATTTTGTAAAAATTGAATTGTAAATAGAGTCTTATGTTATTTTTCCATGCTAGAAACTGTACAAACTGCTAAGTAATAAATCAATCCTTAACCTGTGCCCTTTGCTGCTTTTCTGATTGAGAACTAAACACTCCTGCTTTTCCTCCAAACGCTCAGCCGTTTGGCAATTACTGATGCTTTTTTTGGCTGTGAAATTCATCATGGCAGACTGTGTGTAGCACATTCAGCAATTGATCCAGGAGCCTAAGAGACACGATGCTCTACAAATCCAAATAAACAGGTCATCAGCCTGAGTGGATTCACCACTGCTGAGACTCGTCAACATAATGCCTTTAAAAGCACTCGGGTGCTTTTTAACCCTCATAAAGTGACAATTGAGAATGTTTACACAGAAAAAAAATGCAACAGCGTCACTGTGTGAGTTAGAAACAAATTGGTGTTTAGAGTGATGCAGAGAATATCTAATCGTGTAGCTGGGCTCCACTGTTCTCTTGGAAGTTCCTACTTTTGTTGGAGGATTTCTTAGTGTCAAAATCTCATTGAGTTGTGATTGCTGGCATTTAGTATGAAGCACACATATTACTAATAATGAAAAAAGCAACATTTTCATTTGAATTTGTACATCTGACAGTTTGACATGTCAAAACTGAAAATAAGTCGCAACAACAATGCTATTTTGCAGATATTGTGCATGTAATTTGGTCCCCAAGTACCTTAATTATTTTCAAATTTGCAACTTTCTCAATGCCATATTCTCATTTTAGTCAATAATCAATGAAAACTTTGATTCATTGTTCCCCAACCACACCCAAAACACAATAATTACACTTTCTGGCTCACGGAAAACAAATTGAGAAGGGTTCCAGATTGGTTCTAGACACCCACAACAGCTCAGCAGATATCTTGAGGGGAATGAGTTCCCGCGTGATGTTCCAAAGTTTTGTGGCACGAAAGCAAGACCCTGTGGTTCACCCAAGGACACCGATAATTCATGAGAAGGTTTCAAGACACTAGAAACTCCCCGGTGAATGCTGTGGAAACCAACAGTCATAGCCCAGTGAGATCCTGGCTTTTAAGAAGAGAAAAGTAACCTAGTCGCCATTTTTTCATCTTTGTCACTCAGCAATAACCAAACTATCACAATTTACAATGTTAGCACGAGGTGTCCAGGTTTTTAATGTATCATAAGGATTCCAAAATTCAATCCCATGTCCCATTTGATGTATGATTTAATAAAAAGTTAAACATTATTATTACTTTAATACTGATTTATTTATTTCATAGTATTTAATAACCTCTATCCCTCAAAATGCAATAATAATAAAAAGCAAAAACCTTTTTATTCACTGGTTTATTTTTGGTGCTGAAGTTAAAAGGTCTAAACTCAACTGAAAAAATGTAAAACACAAACCAGATCTCAGATCTCTGTGTGTGTGTGTGTGTGTGTGTGTGTGTGTGTGTGTGGGGGGGGGGGGGGGGGGGGGGTCTCAAAAGGCCACGGAGAAGACCTGGAACTGGGCCTGTTCTGCAGAATAACATCAGGCAGATTGCTGAAACAAACTTGGACCTTTAAAACAAGACATTGATCTAAAACATGTGACCTGAGCAGTAAAATGATGATTTATTAACAGTGATATCAGCGTTTTTAAAAAGACCTGGTCAGTGAGTCCAGACCTGAATTCCATCCAGAATCAGTGGAGAGAATTAAGGTAAAGGACGCCAATTCTGACCTCACAGGAATTGGCAATTAGCTTTTGTTATTATTACTGGCAATTATAAGAAACATGACTGGTGTGATGAAACTCATACTGTTATTGGAATCCTTCAATTCAAATAATATTCATTATAAATCAAAGAAGTACAACTGATTACAAATTTACTGTGAATGACATGAGCTTGATAATTATAACATTATTTGAGTTTACCGGAAGCTTCTGATGTTGTGCAGTGAAAAATAACACTTAAAACTTCAAATGGCTTTTTTTTCCCCCAGCAGGTGTGAAGAAACACAAAAACGGCATGTTTGCAAACGACACCTCCCATATTCCCAAATCTCTGGTTGAAGTGTGCGCTCATCTCTGTTTTGACAAATTATCTAAGCCCCAGAATTAATTTACCGCTCACTTCTCAGGCATGTTGTTTACGTACAGTTCTATTATGTCGTGAGAGATTAGTTCCTCGGTTTGTGCACGCTAATCCGTCTTTCTTTTCATGAAGCAGAGGCACTGTTTAGCAAAAGGCTCCTTTTTGTGGTATTAGCCAACCCAGCCCTTCTCCTTTTCAGGCTGTCCTAGTCTTCTCTCTCCACACACACACAAAAATGGCATTGCCCTTAAGTGTGAAAACCCCAAAACAAAAGGACCTCCAGCTTCCTTTGAGCCAAGTTACAAGATGTCCAAGTCTCAGAGGGTATAAAGGAAGAGGAGAGAAAAAGCAACAACTAAATAATAGTCTGGTTGTCAGTACAAAAGCGCCGTCTCTGGTGATACAGCGTCTGTGAGGGCTTGTGCACTTTGCATGACATTATGTCCTTGTTGTGCGATTTCGGCAGAGGGATACTGCTTTCAAATCCAAACAAATATGTCTGAAAACAATGTTCATTTGGCTTTCAGAATAATTCTCAGTCAGTTAAATATTTACCCATATTTTAGTTGATATTAGAAACTAATTTATTAACGAGGGCACAGCAGATTGTTTCTGCTAAACACAAAAATAAACAGTTTTGCCCCAAGTATTGAAATTTCCTCTGAACTGATGGATAATGTAGATATTATAAAGGGCTCTGGGAAAAGTTGGCATTGTGCGGTCATTTTGGCAAATATATAATTTGTTGCTAATTTGCTCTAAACCCAAAAATTTTATGAGTGGTATTATATTTATGATAGTGTTTATAAAGTAAAATACGTATAAAGTAACATTTGAATGAATTGCAAAGGGATTTAAAAAAAAAATCATCCGACCACAAAAGGAGTCGAACAAGAGTCAACATCGGGAGTTTTCTGAATCACCAGAGCTCAGAGGCAAATGAGGATGCAGATCTAACGATCATCCTAGTGCGCTTGCAGTGGCGTGTCAAGACCTTTTAAAATGGGGTGGCCCAGATGGGTGTTTTTATTTGTTTATTTTTTTTTTGGATGAGGGACAAATTATATAACCCCATGCCTTTGGTTGACAATGTAAAGTCAATTTAAATAGAACTCAGTGTATCAGATATCAGGGATGGCATGTGCTAACCTAGGTCACTCCCTGGACACGCCCCTGTGCGCTTGTAAGCACAACTTTAAAAGTTAAAGTTAAAGTCCCATTAGTTGTCAGACACACACTGGTGTGTGTGCAAAATTTGCTCTCCGCATTTGACCCATCCCCTGGGGGAGCGGTGAGCTGCAGACACAGCCGCGCTCGGGAACCATTTGGTGGTTTAACCCCCCCAATCCAACCCCTTAATGCTGAGTGTCAAGCAGGGAGGCACTGGGTCCCATTTTTTCAAAGTCTTTGGTATGACTCAACCAGGAATCGAACCCTGATCTCCCAGTCTCAGGGCGGACACTGTACCACTAGGCCACTGAGCTGGTTACAGCTTTGCCTGGGTTTGTAGTTATTTCTAAACATGATTATCAGGCGGTGGAGATTGCGTCTCGTTTCGTCACTGATTATACACTCATGCTAAGACCCACAGCTCTCTTCTTACCAGACAAACGCTCACCCCTTCCTTCCACTGCTCGTCAAAGCGTTGCAAAATTGCCGCGAAGCGTACTACAAGGCAATTAGCCGGCATTATAGTGGATAAGTTCCTTTCCACCAGCAGTGAAGTGCGACGTTTTGCATTCACCCCAGAAGCGAGGGCACGCTATCATTACATTTTGAGTCTATTTTACTACGTGATACACCTCCAAAACATGTCAAACTCTGCAGTTTAGATCGAGCCCAACAGGAAGTCAAACACAAAAGCAGTGCAGAACGTCCGGAAACCTTCAAAATAAAGGTCACTTACAGCATACTATTCCTGTGAACTTATGTGACCGATGTAAACAGAATAGAAAGTAACTCACAGACATCTTTTTATGTGTGCAGCTGTCTTTCTTCTTGTTTATTATTGTGTGTGAACGTCTGAAATCCAGTGTGGTAAAAATGGAAACGCGGTAAAGTGTGCTGCTTCTGGGATGTGCCTGAAAACTGCCATGTCGCAGCTGGTTTGAAACACACACAGCCGCTCCGCCGCTGATGCTTTCAGTGTGAAACTGTGGTAAGCAGCGCTGCCGGCCAGGGTCCAGTCAGCTAGACGTTTGTAGCTTGTAGAGTAGCGTACTGTCTGTGATCACCCAGCGCTCTGAATACGCGTTTGGGTTTGCTGACACTCCTTTGCCTTTCCCTGTGGTCACATGATCCCTCCTCTCAGCATATTATTAACCAGGAAGTAGCTAGTGGACTTGCTAGCGCAATGTGCTTCCAGCACACGATTCCTGCCTGTATTAGATCGTGAACAGAGTTGATTTGTTTGGTTTAGCGATGAACCGCTCTTGTGAAAACAAATGAAGGCTGAGTTTCCTCTCTTCATTTCAGCAGTTGGATTAAAGTGTTACAAAGACGAATGCACAGTAAGCAGGAGCGTTTCAGTTTCGATTTTACGACAGTGAATTAACAACAAACTCCATGAGGTGCTTAAAGCAAGCCAAAACTGGAGAGTGGATTTAAATTTAAGTAGTTTTTATGATGAAAGCAATTTATATTGTCTTGCTCAGACTAGCCGTTAGCTCATCAATCAGCTCAGAAAAAAACTTTATTCCAAATCAAGGTTTTTCAATGAGCTATCAGCAAAAATTAGGATACTATTTCCTCATAATATTTCTACTGAATTCCACTTAAACTGTTCAAAGCAGTTGAGTCGATCAACGAGGGCTTATTTATCAACCCAAACCATGTTTATTATTCACAACCCTTGATGTAGCAGCTGAAACTTCACTCCCAGAAGCTAGCTGGAATTCTGCTTTTGAAGATCTGACTTTGAAACATCAGGCAAAAAAATAAAAAATAAAACTTTACTTTCATCTTTTGAGATGACACCAGTAGTAACCTGGATGATTTGAAAGGTCCAAATT